TACTACTACTACAGCTTCTTCTTCTTCTTCTTCTTCTTCTTCTTCTAATACAATTGCTTCATTGTCAATTTATCCTCTTTTCGTAGGCTTTTCCTTTTATTAAAAATGTTTTATTATATTTACTGCTCGTATATCAAAAATCTAAACGAGTAGAAAGAATATGTTGCGTTCATCTTTTAACTGGTCATAAACATTGTATGCAACACATTAACTCTTTTCTCGCAGTCATACTCTTTCTTTTTCTCTCCCTTTTGTCCCTTTCTTATCATATTCCTTTAGTAAAGCCTTGTCTTCAGCTAAGTCTGTCCATCGTATTCCTTTCTCGTGATTTTTTTTCTTAATATTAAACTTTTTCGATAATGGAATTGTCAATGTTCAGGTTTCATTTTCTAGGTATTTTTTCTTTTAAATAACGCGTTCGGGACCCATTGCTATTCTGACAGCAAGATGATAAAATTTAAAATCTAAATAGCTTGTACATTTAAAATATATTTTTAAGCACATCACCGCAAGCAATACGGGAGTTCCCCAAGCACACAAGGGATTACAAGAGCGAGTGAAACTAAGAGTAAATACGTGTGTTTGAGGAAAGAATAAAGAAAAGAACGGGGATCAAGATCAAAGAATCAGAAAGTGTCGATTGACATTACATTTAAATTTTTGAAGATTATAGTTATCAGGGAATCAAGTAAGAGGAAGGGAGTTCCACTGGTGGGAAGTGCGACAGAAGAAGCTGTTGGAGTAGAAGAAGGAGTTACATGTAGCCGTTTCGACAGTGGAAGGGTGAGACCGAGATGCTAACCTAATAGCACGCTTGAAAAACCAAGGAAAATAGCTCGTCAAAGCAGTTGCCATGAAAATATTTGTAGAAAAGACAGAGGGAAGCCACATCACGTCTGTGAGGAAGTGACTGTAGACGAGATGACAGGTAACGACCTATCATATTGCATATACATCTTTTGATTTTGTTGAGGACCTCGAGATTAATTACAAAATAATTAATCAAAATTAATTAAAGAAAATATATTCTGTTTAACTACAGAGAATTATTAACATAAACATTACTTTAAAGGACCGTCCATTTCGGTATTATTTAATTTACGTGTTACCCAAGGGATATCTGCTCTAGCACATTTTTGGAGTGGGTGGGTATAGTTATGGATATGTATGTATATATACCTGTATGTATATGTGATCTGTTATTTTATTTTATTTTTTTTTTAAATATATGTAGTTATATGTATATAAGGGTGTATATATTTGTATGTGTGGGTACATGTATGTCGTTCCATAGATAGTGTATGTATGTATGTATAAATATAAGAATTTGTGAGTTCATATATATAATATCGGAGAATATAGATATAATAAGGTAATTAAGTATGGATTTTGATATGTTGTTTGAATGCACGCTCATGTGGGTGTATATCTGTATATATTTGTGTGTATGTGTATATGTGTATATGTATATGCGTGTGTATATGTGTATATATATGTGTATGTGTATATATATATATGTGTATATATGTGGGTATATGTGTGTGTATATGTAAATGTGTATGTATGTATGTGTGTGTATATCTACATGTGTATGTGTGTATTTATGAATATATACATATATATATATGTGTGTGTGTGTGTGTGTGTATGTGCATATGTGAATATATGTATATATATGGATATGTATGTATATGTATGTGTGTATGTGTACGGATATGTGTGTAGATATATATTTATGAATACATATAATCTTATAAAAGAAGGACTTACAGTCCTGTTATTAGTGTTTATCTTATTTTCTCATTTAATATTCTCCAATTGGAAGTGTGAGTTTAAAATTATTTATAATATGGAGGAAATTTTTTAAATTGATAATTTAATTTAAATTGAAATATATTACCCTTTAATAATCATTATTGATGATAGAATATTTAAATTGGAAATTCTTTTGATATTTCGGTAGATGTTAATACATGAAGTTACCTGTGTATATCGGCACATGGGTGCCTGTATGAGTGACTGAACATGTAAAGGAACGTGTGTATATGTGATATTTGCATGGATGTGTATACAGTATATGACAGAGCAAGATCTTTAATATTACCTTCAAATATTAACCCATATTAACTTAACTAAAATTTAAGTAAAAGAGATTACCTATTTATGTATGTGTCGTCGTGGACGAGCTTGCGAGTCAGAAGGAACATGAATGCAATGCTCTGTTTCATGGGGAGTGGGTGTCAGCCATGGCGCTAAGTATGCAGAGAAGCGACCAGACTAAGCAAGAACCGACGCCCGGCGGGTCGGGGATCAAGCCGGCTTTTATTGTACGAGAAAAAGTCGGCAGCCCGATGCAAGGTGTCATCAACAACCTGCCAGTCAAGCCATGGTTTGCCACAACTGATGATGTCAGCTGATGTCTGTGTGTGTGTGTAACATGACGACCCATAGATCACCTCAAAGAATTCGCAGACAAGGCTTTCATGCTCAAAGTCTTTTCTTTTTCTCACGTCTAAAGAAAACAATTAGAGAAGCACAGTCCCCACCTCCTCAAAAAACAGAAAAAGAACCAAAAAAAAAAACATCCTTCGAAAACACCACAAAACGAAAAGAGAGACCAAAGGAAAGCCAGAGTTCTGCATTCCCTGAACCCTAATAACCCTGATCCTCCCCCCCACCCCGAATTCAAATTTTGACATAGTCTCTTACATTTCGCCAAAATGCTCTCTGGAAAGGCATGAAATATCTTTTTTTTTCCCTGTACCCCAGTAGTTTGGGGTTAAATGTTATTATATCTCGAGCCACTATCTAAAGTTGCGGTTAAGTTGATTCCTTTGGACGAGACGATTCTTCTCATCTGTACCTAACTTTTATAAGTCGACCGTGCATTGAATAGTGTTGCCACATCCGGTCTCCTTCTTCTGCTAATACTCGAGATTCTTGATAAAATCCAATGAAGTATCTGCAATATTTTTACTCCTGACCTGGCATCTCGACCTCAGTCACTTTTTTTTTCTATAAATATTTTCATTGCAATTGTTCTGATGAGTTCTCCTGATTCGTGCTTCGACTTTATGAATTTAAGCGCGGTACTAGATTGGCAGATAGGTTTCATTATTTTTACTATTGAAGTGTGATGATATATATATATATATATATATATATATATATATATATATATATATATATATATATATATATATATACTAAGAAATGTGAATGTTTGTTCTATTCTACTGGTTTCTTCTCTCTCGCGTCTCGCCCGGAGAACATTCTTTCAGCGTCTTGCTTTCCTGTCAACCACGATTTTGAAAAAATTATTATTATTATTTATTTATTTATTTATTTTCTTCTGGTTCCTTGAATCTTGTTCTTTTTATTGTCCTCTCTAGTCAGCAACGTCTTCTCAGTTTTCTTCATTCTCAGTAACCATTTTAGTGGCTTTCTCCCCTTGCATGGGGTGAAATTTAAAATTAAAATAGGAGGGGAGAGTCGGATCTCCTGTGCGTCTAGAAGAAAGACTATTCTGAATTCAAAACCTAAAATAACAGGAAACCACTCTTACCAAAGAATGTAGGTCCTATTGCTTCCGCTTTGGGCGACAGAGCCACAGACTCACCACATTAGGCGTTGTTGCTATAACTCCGGTAGCAAATAGATTTGCTCATCGTTGATTGGTTGGTTGATTATTTTGTTTTATGGCATATCAAAACCTCAGTGGGTCATTTAATGCCAACAAAATTTTTGAAATAAATTCATAGCGATAGTTTGGTAAAAAAAAAGGTGTGTATGTATACATATATATTTGAACCATTTTTCAATTACTCATATCTGTGAGTATAATTCAGTTTCTTTGAGGAAATTTACAATCTTGGATGATTTTATTTTCTTAAAAAGGTTTTTTGAAATTACTCACTTGATTTTTGTTTTGCTTTTTGTTTCACCGCGTATCAACCTCAATGGGTTATTTAATGCTGAAAACTTTTTTTCCTGATAATATTTTGTTTTGTAATCTATTTCTGGTAATATTTTTTTCCTCAAAAATGTATAGCTGGTAATGTTTGTTTTTTCTTCAAAAATTTATTTCAGGTAATAAGTATTTTTGGTATTAAAACCTATTTTTACACTTTCATAATGCTTTTTACCTCACTTTCGAGGTTAACTATTTGCCCATAGCCGAGACCCTAACAGATGCTACCACCCCGGATCAGGATGGATCTGGGAACACCAGCAATTAAGAGGTGGTTCCACACTCCTCAAAACCTCCTGAACAGACGCCTTGCTGTTGGACGTAGTCTATCGTCTTACCCTGGACGCGGATGTAGTTTATCATCTTATTCTGGACGCGGGTGTAGTTTATCGTCATACCCAGGACGGTGGTCGTGGTTGATTTGATGGCCGCTGTCCCAATCGGATTCGTGTTCAGAGTTGTCCTTCTTCTAGACTGATTGGTAACTAAGTCTAGAGATTCCAGTCTGTCTTGTTATTAAACACTAGATCGAAGTGGGGGTGGGGTAGATTCACACCTTTCCAAGCGTATTTGTGCGAAATGAAATGCAAAGGTCTCTGCTGCAATAGAATGCCGGCACGTTAATCCCAAGTGACGCCCCGATAACCAGTGCCCATTCGAAGCATCCAACTTTATCTCAAGAAGCTTTGACAATTCATAGATAATAAATAAAAGGAAACCGAGGAGAGCTATAACCCCGTCAATTTGGATGGAAATAGCAATTGAAAAAAAAATTAATTTATTATCGCCTACCCAAAATATTAAACTTTCTTTCAAATTTGACCGCCATCCCCAAAGAGGATACATGCAGTTCTCGGAAAAATATATCTGTTCAAAAGTCATTATGTCCTGTCTTGCATTTTCTTTGTTAACCCATCTTTTCTCTTTGGAAGTCGAGAGAGATACCTTTATCATCTTCTGAAAATATTCACTTAATGTTATGAACGGCTCTATCGTAGCGAGTCGAGAATGTTGCAGTACGTTTTAGAAAATGCCGCTCTTATCAGCAAAACGCCAGATCCGCCCCCCCCACCAAACCACTCCCCCATTTCCCCGCTTCTTCTTCTCTCTATCTCTGCATGGTCTCTGCCTTTCTTCATTCAGCGGCACCCCCGACACATTTAAACCTGTCATAACTCAACTCTGCGCACCTCCTTAAAATGATACATACAGGTTTTCTGAAAGATAGATTTCGGACATTGTCTACGGTGTATCGATCCCAATTCAACGGACATCTAACCACCTGAACACCCAGCTGGACCAGCGCAGTTTCAGGCTATCGCTTTTTCCCGCCAAACTGAATATAATATTTGAGAAAGTATCGTTTTATCACGTTTTCGCGAGAGAATTTACGCGCAATGTAAGGCCCGGTCAGAGAAAGATACTCGGTGTGGTTTTCACAGACGTCAAAACCGGACAAGAGGCGACCTGCTAAAAGACAGCTCTTCAACACTTTCACTTATCAAACCAGTCACCATTTCGGGAATACTATGAACAAATACTGCGACTTCAACATCAGCAACAGTGGTTGTCAGACCGAATGAGCCTCGAGTGGTTTTCAGCTCCAGGGCAAAGTGTTTTCTATGACGAGTCAGCGATAAACCTAGAATCAATTCTTTATAACGATTATTTCAATACTGAACCAAATCCTACCGCGGCGTTTCCATTAACTGCATTTTCCTCCGTTTGAACGGGCGTATCGGAAAGGAGGAAAGCAGGGATTTGTCGTTTTGGGGATCGTGTTACGATGCTGGGGGCAGATGTATATTATTTTCGAGAAATGCCGCAAAAATCCCCCGAGGTGAATAGCTGACATTGTCTGCAATCCGTTTCATTTATTCCGGATGGATCAGTGTAACGTTATCTGGTACCCGAGGGTACTAGAGCCGTTAATGTTGAAATATCACTGCGTAAAGATAGAATTGAATCTCCCATCCACCAGGTAAATATCTTTTCCTGCTTTTATTTTGTGTGGATATCAACACATTGCCCAGAGCAGGTACACCTGAAGACATCAGACTAATGAAAGAAAGGCATGTTTATTGTGAAAACAGGATCAATGTAATCGAAGAGAAAGTATATCTATATTTAATGTTTTCATTTCAGGTATTTATTTAAGATTAAGCTTATGGCCACATCATGTTGAACCAGTGGTTTCCATAGGGTCACCGAAGTTAAACAACGTCGTGATTGATCAGTATCTAGGTGGGTGACCGTTTTGTATCAGTTTTTGTAAGCTTGGATGTTCGGCCTGTGTAGTGGGTAATGGCTCGCAATTGTTAATTGGAGAGCTGAGTTCTAATTCGGGATTCGTCATATTCACAAATACTATTGGAAAAGTATGAATCCACCTATTTTCACACCACCTATGAGTTAATTAGTAAGACTTGTATTACTAAAGCATTACTATGTAAAAAAAAATGTTACTATCTCAAAATGTTTATTGGGTTTAAATAACCTGAAAAGGGTTGATAAGCCGTAAAAACGAATCAATCAATTAATTATTTAAGTTTATTATCAACAGATTTTTTTTCTTTTCAAACAAATTTAATTGAAAGAAGTGATTAGTTTAATAAGGATCAAAGTCACTAAGTATAGCTTGCAAGATAAGCATTTTAACTATCACCATAATTATATTTTCCAAATACAGTAGAACCTCGTTTCACGAATTTAATTCGTTCCAGAAGCCCGTTCGTAACCCGAAATGTTCGTAAACCGAAACTATTTTTCTAATAGGAATCAATGTAAAATGGATTAATCCGTTCCTCTCAAGATAATTGCTTATTTAAACTTTTACAAGAGTACTTTGTGCACAAGTTTATACACAATACTAATCAAAACACTTTAATTTTAGCGTACCTGTAAGTAGGAGAGTTGATCGCGTAAATGGGAGATTGCTGATTTTTCTATATGAAACTGAGTAGGAAGAGACAATATCATCAACAATTGTCTTTCTCTTAACTTTTCTTTTTCCTTTACCAGTATCACTGCTAGCTTTCTTTGGAGCCATGACTAAAGGCTAATAAAGAGAAAAAAAAAGGCACAGTACAATAAAATTAGAAAAAGAACAGCACTGTGGAACACACAACATGGCGGCCGACTCAAAAATAATTCTGTTCAGGTTAACTCCTTTCAACAATGTTGTTCGAGAACCGAAATTTTGTTCGATAACCGAGGCATTTTGAAAACAGATTTGTTCGACATGTGAAACGTTCGAGAACCGAGGTAGCTCTGTATCATTATTGTCAGTTTTTCTTTCACCGAATCGTTCCTTTAGATATCTTCGTAAATATCAAAGAGCAACCAAAAATTTTTATAACATATACACTTCAACCTGGCGTCACGAGTGCAAGGAAGATAGCTATAATACAGTAGTAGCAAAAATATACTCATTGTAAGATGTTGTTCAAATGTTGTAAGCTCGACCAAATAGCCTTTCAAAAAGATCTGATTTATTTCGTCGGAGTTTTTCAGTTGATGTTTAGTGTATGTTTCTATCTGCCTATTAAAAATATCACCAAGTTTTATTTAGTCTGGCACAAGATCAATAGGAATAGGAGTAGTTAAATCACACTGAGTAAATTTTTGAAATTTATAGGGTTGACGTACCTTGAAAATCATTATTTAAAAATATGAACTTTTATCTAGGTTCGAATATAACTAGTGGCACTTGTGCGGTATACATCTATTACGCAGGTTATGATAGGTGTATATCAGGCTCTCATATCTATGATTAATATGTTCTGGAAAAAAACACTATTTACTTGAATACGTGAATATATGTATATTTGAAAAGACAATTCGCAAGCGTGTCTCGCTAGATTAATTACAACTAAATAGTGAGTTCGATCCTCACTGGGTGACCTATATGTCTGGCCTTCAGCCACATCTAAAATATGCTTAGAAAATGATTTCGGGAACTTCGACGTGGTGTAATGTTTAGCAAGCTTATCTCGCTAGATTAATTACGACTGAATAGTGAGTTCGATTAACACAGGGTGCCCTTTATGTTTGGCCTTGTGTCACATCTAAGCTATGCTTAGAAAATGATTTTGGGCACTTCGATGTGGTGCAATGCTTAGAATGCTTGTCTCGCTTGATCAATTAGGACTGAGTTGGGAGTTCTATCCTCACCGGGTGCCCTATACGTTCGTCCTTGTGCCACATCTAAACTACCCTTAGAAAATCATTTTGGGCACTTCGACGTGGTGTAATGTTTAGTAAGCGTGTCTCGCTACATTAATTACGACTCAATAATGATTTCGATTCTCACTGGAAGCCCTATACATTCGGCCTTGTGCTACATCTAAGCTACGCTTATAAAATCACCATATTTGAAAAGATACACACACACACACACACACAAACACTGAAATATACGAGCATCCATAAAAAGAACTATTGTGAAAAAAACTACGTTGCGTTAATGAAAAATCTATTCTACGATTCATATATATATAGTTTTATTGGTAATAAGAAAATGATTTTTAAATTTTGTTTCATTTTGTGCTGGTGCCTTTTAAACAGTCATGAATCGATCTTCTTCCAGTTAAAGCAAAGCAGACTGTGCTGTGTTGCCTTTGCTGGCAGCCAGACTAGGAGAAAAACAATTTTAAATTTAAAACCGTGGATAAGACAACGAGAAATCAGTTATCACTATATAAATTACGATGGATAATTTGTAGTTTAAATAACGCACAAAATGAAACTAACACTCATTTTAACAGATAAATTTACGAAAATCAAACAAAAATAACTTGAAATGCAAAAAGAGTAAATTTATTCAATGACATCGCTATTGGATTCAATCACAGCATCCAGACAACTTCGGAATCTCCTACACTTAATCGGGACAGCCTCCTTGATTAAGTTGGTGAATGCTGCCATAATCCTTGCTTTTAGTTCATCTTTGGCGTTACAAGAAGTTTTAGTGGTCTCCTGCTTAAATGCACTCGATGCATAATAATGAAAGGGATTATATGTAAGGATGTGATGCGGTCGCATAAATTGTCTGACAGCCATGACTGGTTTCTCCTGCTTTTGTGGCATGGTGCAGAGTCCTGTTGCCAAACATAGGGTCTACCAGCGGCCACCCTCTTGATCTAGGGTAGCATTGCCTCCTCAAGGCACTTAATGTAGGTCTCCGAGTTGAGTCTGAGGCACTCATCAACAAATTCGGGAGTTCTTTTCTTATCAGAACGATCAGAGTGAGTTTTCCGAGCTGGCGTACCTTCGTAATCATCATTAGACTCATCCAACTCTTTCCAGATTCTCGGCACAGTTCTCAGATGGACACCCAAACACTGAAATATTCGTATTGGAGCTTCTGGCGCGAAAGCCAAGCAGCACAGAATAACGTTTCCAAATTTCTAGAGGAGGGAATTGCATCATTGTGCTGTTTTTGTCAGAGACGATGCCCAACTGACCCTACTATACTGCGCAAACTACAAGATAAAAAACAAAGCTCGAAATTAAAAATATAAAATGGTGACAATTTACCCATCGCATGCTGTGTTTCCCAAATTTGATAATTCACAGATAAAATATAAAATGAAGATGTGGAGAACTATCATTGCCTACGTTCTAAAGGGAGATGGCAATTACAAAAAAACAAAAACAAAAACAAAAAAAATTAGTCCACTCGCATTTCAAGAAAAAAATATACTGAATTCACATTTGATCGCCGGCCCCAAAGATGAAATTCTCGAAATATATTTCAGTTTCATAATTTTTTTGACTGACACTAGAATTAAATTTTCTTCTTTCCTTTCTGTTTAATATTTTCCTTCAAAACAAATCATAAAGCACCTTATTTTGGCTGCAATTTAACCTGCTTTCCCGTTCATCAAAAGCTATCGACGACTATATCGATAAACATAAATGGTTCGCTAATAAGATTTCTACAAACATTAAAAAAATATACATAAATATACACGAATACTATGTCTATGTGCTGCATTCCTTCAGCACATGACGCATCATGGCCGTTCAAAATATCCTCTACCTAATGGCGTTTAGCGGTTATTTTTTTTTCATGTGAATATAAGCGATCATTGCTAGCCAAAACTTCCTATCACTTATGGTCCTTAAGATTTAGACTACATCTTCTTCTATGTGCAGTGTCTGTTC